CGAGGGCACTCCTACCCCCGTTACCAGCCACACGACCAGCGTCATCAAGAACGGCGTCAAGGTCCAGAGCATCACTATTCTTGGCAAGGAGTGTGCTGTTGCGGATGAAGTCCGTGTGCAAAACTGTGTCTGCCTGCCGTACAAGGAGCTTAAGAGGGTAAGTCAGCATATATCCACATTCTCAGCCTGTACTAATGTATTGTGCAGGACGTCTCGAACGAGGTCATCATGTAAATGACCACGATTTGTAACAGCGTGTCGCGAGTTAGCAGCGCGTGGTGATGTGATACAGGTGCATCTACAGAAATTAATCATGATGCAATGCATGGCTTGTGGTCACTGGATAGAGCGATATACCACTATACTTGAAATGAACCCACGATGACAGAAAGAATGGCCTTTTATCTTGAGCTTGCATTTGTGAAGATGCGTATCTTTGGACGCAGCTCTATGCTATCATGCATTGTTTGGCAGCGAACTGATTGACCTACCCCATACGTGTAAGGGAAATTTTTTATCATGAACAGACACCGTGTGTAGTCATCGCCTTGGACGAAATCCTTCGTGGTAGTATGATTTGAATGCACATCTACCACTATTGCGTCTTGACTTGGACATGTCCTAGAATAGCCGCGTCTAGTCTCGATTCGGCATCGCCATCCGAACATTCGACATCCCGATCTTTCTACTCCAACACACGTTTGTACCGATTCGCCAACCTCATCGAAACTTAAACGCAGTGCTCATAGAAAATCACACGTGACTGCTAACTTCATTCTAGGGCGATCGATTGTGAGTTACTAGGACCGTTATCGTGTCTGAGTCAGAGGGCAATACGATCCATCCATCAATCTTTGAGTTGAAGGAGTGCTTGTGAACTAAGGAAGAGACGGTCATTTGAAGGAAGACATAATGTCAGACATGAATACAGCCCCCGGTACAGCAGGAGATAAGCAGTCAAATGGCACCACTTCCACATCTCCCACAAATCTCAACCCCACTCCCGACTCCGGCTCCCGCTACGATAAGCCCATCGCCACCGCCCAAAAGGATGGACTTCCCATAATTGATATATCCCCCTTCATGGACCCCTCCTCTTCGCATGAAGCCCGTTCAACAACCGCCTCCGCCATAAACGCCGCTTGCATAAACTACGGCTTCTTCTACCTCACCGGCCACGGCATCCCCACTTCCAAACTCGACGAAATCATCAACTTGGCGCGGGAATTCTTTTCTCTACCACTCGAGGAAAAGAACAAAATCAAGCGCTTCGATGCCGGCAGCCCGGAAGGAGGCGACGGCGCACGCGGCTACCAGGGGCTCGGCGAAAACGTGACGGGTGGACTGCAAGACATGCAAGAAGCCATCGATTGGTACCGAGACTGGCCGGCCGACAAGAGAGAACCAGGCGATGGCGGACCAGGTAGCGTCAAGAGCCTCCAGGGAATTAATCTTTGGCCTGAGAAACCCGAACAGCTCAGACCCGTGTACGAAGAATACATCTCGCGCGTCAAGAAAGTCGGCGAAGCACTCGTTCACGCCATGGGCGTAGCACTAGACCTCGGTTCCCCTCAAGAAGGCGCAACACAATCAACGCAAGACGAAGAAATCTTCCTGCGTAACTGCTCCGACTCCTTCTGGGTCATGCGCATGATCGGCTACCCTCCCCTCACAACCCCCATCTCCGGCGACGACAACATCGACCAATTCTCCTGCGGCGCCCACACAGACTACGGTTGCGTGACCCTTCTTCTCACAGACCCCACACCCTCCTCCCTCCAAGTCCTGCTCAAAGACGGCACGACCTGGCTGAACGCGGACCCCCTCCCCGGCGCGTTTGTCGTCAACATTGGCGATATGATTGAGCGGTGGACGAACGGTTTGTGGAAGAGTACTAAACATCGGGTTATTCATAGGGGGGAAGCGTTTAGGGTTAGTGTGCCGTTTTTCTATGAGCCGAATTTTGAGGCGTGGGTTGAGCCGTTGGGGAAGTGTGTGCAGAGGACGGGGGGTAGGGAAGGGTATGGGAAGGGGAGGTATGGGGATCATTTGTTGGGGAAGGTTAGTGGGAATTTTTATTATAGTATGAGGACTGATTGGTGAGGGTGTTAGTGAGGCGTGGAGTGTGTCAGTGGCTCTGAGATGGATAGAAGGGTATGCGGTATAGTATCGATTAACTTTGTTGTCAATGTGATTTTTAGATGATCGTTCTGGATGTATTGACGCGGCAGTGACTTAATCGCAGATATAGTGACATTGACATACAGATTCGGCACCTGGGCGAACATGTCATCCCGCGACATGCGAGTGATGTGGTCCCTTTCACTCAAACAGTCTGCTTATCCGGCCTGTCGCAGTGATGTACCCAGTCTGTGCGGAAACTGTTTGCACGTCCCCGTTCTCACAGTCACACAAACAAACGCGCTCTCACCCATCACCTCCAAGCAATTGAAACACTGTATCGTAGTATATATACGCAATAATTTACTAATATCTCAATAGAATCTGATGGGCCCGTAGCGTATGTCCTTCGCATGTCTACCCTGTCGTGCAGGGTGTGATCCGTTCACATACAGGCTTCGGTTGAAGCGATCTATTTTTGCTCCGGGTTCGAAACTGCCTGCGGCCATAAAAATTCGCATATTTCTCTTTTTGTTTCGCTACCTCCCTCCCTTTCACTTGTCACACACACCCCGCACCGCCTCAACAAGTTCAATTAGACTCCTCCAACCATCCAAACAGCGCGCTATGATATCTTTCGCTGTCCTGAACTTGGGGACTGTGGCCTAGATCCTCGAATTCGATCAACGTCGCGTTTGGAATCCTCGCCGCCACTTCCTTACCCAATAGCTCGTATTTGCCTATCTTGGCTTGTACATCTGGTGGGCTCCAAGCCTTGCCAATAGCCGTTGTGTCTTTTGTCCCTATCAAGAGAAGAGTCTTAGGCTGTACCAACTCAAACTCATACGCAATCGGTTGAGTCAAAACCATATCCGTCGTCTGCGCCATATTATACGCAAAGTCGATGTTCTCGGGAGACGTCTGGTAGAGTGAGACTAGCATGTTGACCCAGACATCGTATTCCGGCTTCCAGGTATTGACGTAGTAAGTAGCTTGTTGGTATTTCCGGATTGATGTGTAGTTGGTGGCCAGCTCGTCTTTGTACAAAGCGTCGAGATTGCGCCATGGTACCCCGAGAGCCTTCCAGTCTTCCAGGCCGATCGGGTTCGTGAGAATGAGATGGGATGTTTGCTCTGGGTACATGAGGGCGAAGCGCGTAGCTAACATACCACCCATGGAGTGTCCTAGTACATATGTTGACTCCACACCTAGGCTTTGCAGCAAGAGATGTGTGTTTCGCGCGAGCTGCTGCAGCGAGAACTGGTAGGCTGGCGGTTTGGACGACTTGCAAAAGCCGATTTGATCGGGGATGATGACGCGGTATCCGTGGGCTGAGAGGCGACGCGCTGAGTCCTCCCATGTCGCGCCGCAGAAGTTCTTGCCGTGGAGAAGCATGATGGTCTTGTTTGAGGCATAGCTGGTGTTTTGAGAGGGTACATCCATGTAAGCCATGGAGAGATTCGCGCGCTGCGACGTGAACTCAAAATACTGCACTGGCCATGGGTAGGTGTAGTTCCAGGTACTAGGCGGAACCATACTCGTGCCCAACGCCGTCGCAATGAGTTGCGTGAGAATAAGTAGCTTTAGCCGCATATTGAAAGCGACGATGGGAAAGCGATACGGACGAACGTAGTGCCCAGAGGGAGGTGTGTAGAAGGTGAGGTTGCTATTCAAACTCTTGAATTCTGACATGCATATGATGTGTAATGACGCCTGCCAATCTATCCTGCCTATCGCGACCCACTCCAATGCTTGTCTTCTTGCATTTCTTCGTATTGCGATTTGCTGCATGGTGCGAGTGCGCTCAAACCCATTGCCCGATGAAAAGGACAGAGCGTGTTCGGTCTCGTTCGTCCTGGCGGCGATATACATTCTTACCTCTTCGTCCCACGGTTGTCTGGTATAACGTGGCCGCTACTGTGTTCATAGTGCTGTTATACTTGCCAAGATGAAGGGTCTCTGATTAATCCTCCAATGAGATGGAGGGTACCTCACGGACGACGCCCCTGTGTTCTCGAGTTTAGCGACCGTTGAAGAATGCACCAACCGGTATAGATACCACTGTCAAGATCGTGGAGATACACCTGTCGCTTCCTTCAAGCAAGGAAGTATTCGATTGTCGGAAGGAACAAACCTGCCAGGTTCTGCCCACATGTGCCCGCAGGCGTGAGGGGAATACGCATACTAGCTCCCAACACGGCTAGCACCAAGCTGCGCGTCTTGAACCCCGGAACCCCATCAAATTTCCAGCTTCCACTCCTCCGCTCCGCAGTTCAAGCCACACCCCGCGAACGGACAGCGAAGTCATCCACCCCGACCCCTGCATCTAGCATCCATGATGCCATCGCCACGAGGCCGGCGGGCTACATGCAGTGCCTAAACGGCTAAATTACATCGGACCTGAACCTCGGATGAAGATGCATAGACCACTATCGCGATGCTACGCGCGATGTGATCTAACTGCAGGCCAAGCGATACATCGATCTGGAAGGATTCTTATCCATTGCGATATCAAGTGACAACCGAAGATTCATATTGTATGCTCATGTTGAGGCGAGTGTATTCGCTCTGGGCACGATAGGTTTTGGTTCGCCTTTGTCGCTCGGTAGAACGTTGCGGTACCCGTCCTCTGCTTAAGCATTCTGCCACTGCCCCTGCCTAGTGATCGATCTACACCTCGTTTCCTGGGGTTAGCCCGCTCTCGAATGCTTATTTCCAATAGCCTCATGTGGAGGAGAACTGCTTGTGGCTAGCGCTACGGTTGTTCATCTGCAAGCACGACGCCATCCGGGTTACCGGTGCCGTATAAGAGGATCAAGATGAACGACCATGGTTCTCCAGCTGTCGATCAAGTCTCTGCGCCAAGCTGGACATTCAAGATGACAGTCATCACCACCCTCGTTGCCGCTGCGGCGGCTGGTATTGTTGCTGTCTCTCAGGCTTCACCGGTTGGATCAGCACCTGCCGTTGGCGTTTCGAACGCGAAATCCTCTTTGACACTCATTTACCAGAACAATCTTAACGGCTCGGACGACAAGAACCACATTGGTGCCATCATCCTCGACCCGGTCCCTCAAGCCAATGCAGCAGCAGCCTGTGCCTCGCTCAACGAGAAACTCATCTCCAAGGCTACGCTCCAGAAGTACCAGGCTGATTTCAACGATGCTCTCTCATACCAAGATTATGCCAAGTACACCGACGCTGAACGAGGGTACTACATCGACAGTGGCGTCGTCTCAGTCGGCAACCGAGTGAAGTACATGTCTGCTTCATCACATCACAAGCAACTGCCTGTCTTGTGTACCCAATCGGCAAACAATGGATCAGCGAGTGCCGGTCCTGTGAACGGAAGTTCTATCTCAGTTGCATCTGGTGGAAACACATTCGTCGGATACCGAAATCAGAAGTCCTTTAGGTTCCTCGGCATTCCATACGCGGATACGCCTACCCGTTTCCAGTACTCTTCGCTCTACTCTAAGAAGGGTCAAACAATTCAGACTACCGAATACGGCTCCAATTGCATCCAAGGTGGTGGTGGAAGCGAAGACTGTCTCTTCCTCAACATCCAAACACCATACATCCCCAAAGTAGGATCGAAGAAGCAGCTCCGCCCCGTATTGTTCTGGATTCACGGTGGTGGATTCACCGGAGGAAGTGGTGCTGATCCACTCTCCGACGGTGGAAACCTTGCAAGCAAGGAAGATCTTGTTGTGGTTAACATCAACTACCGTCTTTCGACGCTCGGCTTCCTGGCCATCCCTGGAACAGACATCAAGGGCAACTTCGGTATCGGCGACCAGATCGTGGCGCTCGACTGGACTATTGCAAACATCGCTGCCTTTGGTGGTGACCCTGAGAGGATAACCATCGCTGGAGGATCAGCCGGAGCCGGCTCTGTCAGAACACTGTTAGGCTCCCCTAAAGCCATCGGAAAGTTCCAAGGCGCCGTTGCCTTATCCAACCTCGGAGGTGGCGTAACGCTTGGTCTGGACGGAGACTACGGAACAACTTATTCAACCTACTACACGGTCAATCAGAGCTACACCGTCGCCGGGCCTCAGATCTTTGCGGCGGCTGGCTGCAACAGCACTGATGTGTTAGCCCAAATCGCTTGTCTCGACAAGGTCCCTGCTGCAGACCTGGTCGGCTTCAGCACTGTAGCCCGATATGTCGTCCAAGACGGTACATACGTCAACACGCCAGAACTCATCATCTCAACTCGCAATGCCAGTACCGCACACATTCCCGTAATCTTCGGCACCGTTCTCGATGACGGCGCTTCGTTCTCTACATATCCCACAAGCCCGATCTCAAACCACTCGCAAGGACTACAGGAAGCGCTTGGTATCAACAGCACATGGGCCGAACGCGTCATCCAGTCTGGTCTGTTCCCCTTCACCAGCACGGGTAACCTGACGCTCGACTCCTTCAACGTCTCGCAGCGCATTGCCACCGACAAGACATTCCGCTGTGCCGACCAATCGACCGTCTACTCTGCCTCGCGATCAAAAGCCTTCTCAAAGACATACTACTACCAACTTGACCGTTCCATCGACGGCTACGACCCCAACAACCTGGGTGGCCCTGCCAACGACAACCCCGAGAACCCGTACTTCCGCTTCCACGGCGCAGACTCGCCTTGGTTCTTCGGCGTTCTGAACCGCATCCGCGAACCAGAGGATCTGTGGAGTGTTCAACTCACTACCAGCTACTTCGCTTCCTTCATCAGGAACGGCGACCCGAACCCTAGCTTGAAGTATCTTGATGTAAGAGGGTACTACAAGGTGCTTGAAGGTGTGACGAAGTATGGTCAGTGGATGCAGGTTGATGCGACTAAGAAGTCAGGAGATGAGATTAGGCTGTTGGATTGGCCTAGCAAGAGCGCTGGATACACGGATGTGGAGCAGTGTGATTGGCTGGGATACCCTCTGGATTACTACCTGAACGGAGGGATCTGAGTAGCTGGTACTGCTATGAGCCGTGTCCGTATGTAGTCATGTGTAGGAGAAGCCTTCTTAATGCATGTGTAGCCGTCATCAAACATTCGACCAAGTCCCTATTAATGCAGTACATCTGTGACACCTGTAACGAAAGCAAATGGTAATCGCAAAGCTAACAGTTTACCCTGGTGTTCGGTTTGGCATACAAGTCTTGTCTTTTTGTCAAATTTCGTTGCCCTCTTGCGGGTTGTATCAGTGAAGGCGCCCGGGCGCTCGCACTCACTCACCGAAGTGAGAGTGGACCGTTGCTGCCTGATCAGGGCTAGTACCCAATAGGCTCTAGCATTTCTGTTTACGAATCGCCTTCCGCCAGCTTCCTTCGCGTTCAGACTACTCTCTCCGGTGAGGTATCTTCATCCACCTACTCTAAGCCGCCATGAGTTATTTCGACGTTCGTGTTCGGGAGTCGCTCTTCCAAAGGATCGACGGCGGCAAGCTCAAGAAAACGCCCACCACACCTAAGGAAGCACGACAAGTAGCAAAGATCGCGGAAGATTGGGTTCCGCCCGGTGTGTTTCCATTCTTCCGCCTTCCACGAGAACTCCGCGATACGATATACAAGTACGCCCTAGGAACGGAGGCCAGAGTATTCCGCGCCGACAATCTCCTGTTGCTAGCCACTTGTCAGACGTCAACCAAGTACGGTCTCCGGGTTGTGAATGAACAGAAGGAAATCGATGCGGTGAACGGTGAGGGATCTGAGGAGGAAGAGGATAAGGAAGACACAGAAGAGAAGGATCGAGATAAAGAATATGGATGGTATGAGGGTGGCTACCTAGGTGATATGTGGAAAGAATATGAATGGTATGAGGGTCGCTATGATATGTGGTACATGGGTCTTAACTCAGCCGTACCGGAAGGTCTTCCCAACTGGCTTCGCAGCAACAAGCAACTCTGCTCAGAAGCACTCCTGTGCTTTGGCGCTACCCGAACGTTTGTCATAATCGACTACTACGATTACACCAATTACACAAAAGCCCATAGTAACCCTCCCGACATGGCTGGCTTGACCAACTCGCTGGTCATGAATAGGAACGTCATTCGCCACATCGCAATCAGGAGAGAGGTCGACCAGCTTATGGACGACGACCCGAAATTCCTGGTCCTTCTTCAAGGCCTGCAAGTTGAAAACTTGACAATGGATTTGGAATGGAGTCATCGTCTCGACTATGAATCGGATGATGAGGATTCGCTAGAAGATTGTATTGAAGAGTGGGACACTTTGGATCTTGGCTATTGGGAGGGTAGGCTGCAGAAGCTGAAGATCACGATTCCTACAAGGCGCGAATATGGAGACGAGGCTTTCCATACGAAGACCTTTGATCTGGCTGAAAGATTGGCCACTAGACTGTTCGGACCTGGCGCTAAGGTGGTCTGGGGCCCTTACGTATATGACAAGAGGCAGGGCAGTATCGGCCTGTACAAGAGGTATCTGACTGTAGAGAAAGCGGCCTAGGGTGTTAAGCTTGGGCATTTGGTGGTGAGAAGAAGTATATGCGGTGAACGAGAGGGCGTTCGATCGAGAGCGGCCATATGTATTGTACTACCTCTGTGCTTCGAGGCTATGGGATCAAGCATCTACTCAGTAGGCGTGTTATTATCATCGTGCGTTCGATCAAGTAGTCAAATTCTCATGGTATCCAGAGTTTCTTCAGTGACTTATCAATGGATCGGAAGTCCATCATAGTAGACCCAGAACACCTTCTATGAATGCCCAAGTATCCACTTGAACATCATGCCAGACCCAGGAGGTTTTTGACGTCTCGGCATGTATCACTCCACTCACTTCAATCTCACTGACACCCTCCAGGCTCAGCCACTAACCTAATTCACGCGGGTAGGATCGTTGTCGTCTCATATGGAATCAATCGCTTCGGCAGCCTCTTACATGGTTTGGACGGCGTCCAACACATCTTAATCCTGGATATCCTTGGGCTCGGAAGGACTGTTAGCCTGGCGGCTAGCCTCGGCACTAGCGAGGAGGAAGTCTTCACCTGAGAGGTGTTCACCAGGGACGATTTTGCCAAAGAAATCGGTCGTAGCGAATAAGCCCGGGTATCGTATAAGGTTTTTGGTCTTTTCTGTAGTACGGACATCCTTCTTGAGGTTGACCGTGGCGAACGAAGCTGGAACTCACAATCATGCCACTGTTGCGACTTCCCCAGGGGTCTACGTCCTACTTTCCCGTGACGAATACGAGTAGTTAGCGACGTTTGGGAGTATGTCAAGAGTTTTCTGGATAACATTCTAGTGGTCTATAGCACACCTAGAAGTTTATCATATGCTTAGGTAGGTAGCCATATACACTTACTTCATACTCGTGTACGCCTAGCCACACTCTTTGAACATGGTAATTGATAGGATCTATTGCACGTCTTCGTAAGCTGGCCTCTTTTTGCAAACGACTAGACTTTACTCAACCTGATCACGTTTATGATTCACTTTCACTAAGGTACGGTCTCGCATCAAAGCGCAAAAAAATAGTAAATATTGCAGAGTTTCGAACACGGGGCCGCAGAAAGAGGCAAAAAGAAACTCTTACTAAGCCACTAGAGACACGGATTAAACTCCCTAGACTATAGGGAAACATGCGTAGAACACTAGCCAGACTGTTCGTTGTTTCTTCGTGGAGTATAGACGAATTAGTTGGTATATATAGAAGAGTTCAATATCTGCTTAATATGCGCTGATAGTGGGCGCCCCAGAATTGTGGGGTTGTTTACATGTGTGAAGGTGAGCGAGCGCTCGTCGGTACCTAGGCCATCTGCGTCGCTGCGCAAATACTATCCCTACAGCAACAGAACCTGAGCGTCTGATGAGGGTTTTCTATTATTTACTTGTATAGCTCTGCTCGTGATCATTCGGTCTAGCTAAACATGGAAATTTGCGAAGTGATTCAGTGAAAAGAAGCCCCCGAAATGGCGCACATATCTAGGCAACACCCCGTCACCTCGACCTCTATTGTTGTCCACGGACAGGCAGTAGAGACTTTTAGGGGGACGACGTCACTACGAAATCGGGCGCAGATTTCGAGTCGCGCTCACCTTCACCTTCACCTTCACCGCGACTAGTATCTCGTCAGTGGGTATATATCTTTCTTCTGCAACCGCAATAATCTCTTCTCCAACCACCCCCATCCCCTGACTACATATACTACATTCGTATCTACATCTACATCATGGCTCCCACCACCCCCCTCCCGCCGAACCGCTCGCGCGCCATCAAGGTGGAGCTCTACTGCCCCGAGACCGGTGACAAAGCGGACAACTTCCTCATTACCCCGTCAATGACACATGACGACATCATCTTCAACGTTGAGCGCACACTTCGTCTCCGTGATCAAGAGATCTGGGCCTGCGACATCAATGGCGAGCTACTCTACAATAGCGACATGAACTCCTTCCACTTCAACAATGTCGCCGATGGAGAGAAGTTGCTGATCGGTACTTACGACTACCACCGTATCCGCCCAGAGCCTGAGCTCGAGGTCGTCTTGTATCTTGATGATACATCAGGCCTACTAAAGAGGTCACTCAGGGTAAGTTTCGAGATTTGTTGAGGAAGGGAATCGATTGGTACTTTCCCATTCGCCCAACTACCCAGAGAACTCAGCGATTGCATCTACAGCTACACATCGGCCCACTGCCTACTATCCTCAAGGCTAAGGGTCTACTCATCCAGGCCACATGCAAGGTCCGATCTTTGGAGGAAGACGATGACGACGATGACGATTTCTGCATTGAAAACATACTAACATACATGCAGCAACTCGGAAAAGAAGCTCTTCGCAACCACATGAGCAAGCTTCGTCGTTGCGATGCCCCCCTCCGCAAGAACGTTCTCCGCCTCGTCAAGCCATACAGCCGTATCGCGAGCTTAATCAAGGACTTCGATTCTGCGAACGCGAAGACACTGAAGCAGAAGTACAGTGTGTCCGCGTCGAAGCGCGACATCAAGAGCTTCTGGTGGATCAAGGACACGGCGATGAAGTTTGAGCCGGGGGTCCTCGCTCTGATGGCGATTCTCGCTGAAGCAACAGCGGGTAACGACGAGATCGCTTCAGATGCGCTCATCGATGCGAAGAAGGCTCGTCTCGACAACACCCCTTGGGGTTCAAAGGAACTGCAAGAGGAAGACGTTCGCGAAGCCATCAAGGCACTCTATGAGGCTGCAGATGCCCTCGATTCCGTATGGCCGGAGACCCAGGACAACAAGAAGATCGCGGTCAAGGATGCAAAGAAAGAACGCTATGCGAAGGCTAGCGGCAAGGGCAAAGCGGTCAAGCGTGATGCTGATTTGGGTGAAGAGGCCTTTGAGGCTGCGCATCCTGGCACGATGGCTTCGCGCGAGATGGATGGGCTGGCCGGACTTATGGACAAGAGCAAGTTGCCGGATACGATGGTGTCTGATGACTCCGATGAGGAGCCAGTAGTAAAGCCAGGTAGACTTCGGCGTACCTAGAGTGTGATAGGTATGCACAACGTTGCTGTGGGGATTAGTGCTAGATACGATGATTGCGGAGGGAGATTGGGCCTGTACAAGTACGGTAGCTAGGTCTTTCGACTGGACGAAACGAGTAGTTGGAGAATAAACATGGAAAGCACGAGATACAGGGAGAGAAGTTGATACAACGTATGTTGCTGATAGGAAGACGGCGACCATCATCGTCGTTACTTGTGAGGTTGTATGCCGCAGATCTGCATGTGATGCACAGTAAGACTTCAATGACTAGCCTGACCGTGACCAGGGTCCAGTATGAGTCAAGGCGCATGCTCTTCTTCATTGTCGTTGTGCTCGATGTGCATGAATCACGGCTCACCTCATACTGGTCTTTGGCGAGTAAGTCCAGATGGATGCTCGGCAACGGGCCCTCAGCCACCCGTTAGCAGTTCCTTCCTCTAGGATGTTGGATAGTCGAAGGTGGACTATTGCCCTATGATCCATGATCTAGAAGGAGACGTGGAGAAGGAGGCTTAGATTCGGACGAACGAACGAAGGATTTGTAAGGTGGAGGTGGCGTATACTGAACATGGCAATACGCAGTTGCCGTTGGAGCGACTTCGGGTGGAAGCCGCGGGGCGCAATTGCCGAGAACGTCTCTTTTCGTACGGCGTATACGATTACGCTCTGCGACATCTTCTGCAGGCCGCGTCAACAATACTTTCATCTCCATACACGCATCCAGCTAGTAGCCTAGTACTATACACCATCGCGATTCGTTGTGTAGCGCGAGGCTATAGCACCGCCGCCGCGACGTTATGTGTCGCCCGTTGATCGTCATGGCGGAGTCCGGAACCTCGGAACAGAACTATTTGCGAAGCTACTCCTCGCTGCGCATGGTGCATACGCTGTGGTGAAGAAAAACACGCTGTTGAGGTAATGTCTAGCAGGTCAGTCGAATGAAACGACCGTACGCAGGCTGCCTAACGGCGAGGACGCGACGCGCTATGGACGGCAATAATTGCGATCAGGGCCCAACGAAGATGACGACATTGTTTATTGCATAACAACAGGGCAGTGGTTGTTACTTTGCGCCAAACGCTTGTCTCGACATCTCAAACATGGAGAAAGTAACACACCACACTCAATGCCAGGATGACAGGGTCGTATCAAGGTTCTTTTCGTACCCTTCGTACCGGCAGCTTGCCGAGTGCCGAAAGCGTATTGTTTCGAAATGAGCGCCAGCCACTCACGGGAGATGACGCGCCACAACGGTGCCCGCTGACCAGAGCCTTACCGCAGAAAGGCGGTGTCAGCTAGCAACTGCTGCAAACGAAGAAGATCTGTAGGACCGATGATGGCTGAGGGCCTGATGATTCAGGCGGGCATGCGACAGCACTTTACAAACCAAACACGGACAAAACCTCGACGAGAAGAGATGGGACTAAAAATAAAGTTTGATCGTCAGGGCCTTCAGCCACGACAAGTGGCACGCCTAGTAGCACGCCTATGAGGTCAGATCCTCCTAGCTCTTCCGGGCGTTTGGTGCGTTGGAGCCAGGAGCATAGCCGCCTGTGCAGTGTGGGTCATTCCGCAGCCTCCCGTCAGCATGGAGCGCATCATTTAACATTGCCATGATTCCGCATTTGTTCGCGATTCATTTCGCGTCTTCTCAGCCTTCTCACCCCTCCTTTCTTCACATCCATTCGTTAGGATGAAGTATTCTTCTGTGTTGTCTGCTTCGGCATTGACTAGTTTAGCGACCTGTAAGTGATGCGCCTCCTTGTGTTCCTGCAGGGACCCAGCTGACGCATGACAGCATCTGCGGTTGTTCCTCGGGAAGCTAGAGTCGTACCTCCCAATGGCTTGGATATATTGAAGCGTGCCTCGCCCCAGGCTCCCAATGGCTACGCGCCAGCCGAAGTCAACTGCCCGTCCACGCGCCCGAGCATTCGATCCGCCGACAAGCTCTCCCAGCAAGAGACAGAATGGCTCCAGAAGAGGAGACCGAACACGATAGATCCCATGCGCGAGTTCCTCGAACGCGTCAACATTGAGGGCTTCGACGTTGGACAATACATCAGCAACCACCGCGACAACACCACCGCCCTACCGAACATCGCGATCTCGTTCTCTGGTGGAGGATACCGGGCCCTGCTGAACGGTGCGGGTGCTCTAGCGGCGTTTGACAGTCGGACATCGAACTCGACGAGTGCAGGACATTTGGGAGGAATCTTGCAGGCATCCACATATGTTTCCGCACTATCAGGAGGAGGCTGGATGATTGGCAGCATCTACGCCAACAACTTTACCTCAGTTGAGGCAATCATCAACAAGGGCGAGGACTCGGCAATTTGGCAGTTCCAGAACTCGCTGTTCAAGGGACCTCCCACGAAGGGAATTCAGCTGCTATCGACTGCGCAGTACTACGACAACTTGGTCAGCACAGTCAAGGACAAGAGCGATTCGCCGGCTGGCGACTTCAATACGTCGATTACCGATGTTTACGGCCGCGGTCTTTCTTTCCAGCTCATCAACGCCAGCGATGGAGCCCCAGGTATGTTTACCCCCAGATCCTTTAAGTCCACAAGCTAACCACAATAGCCTACACCTTCTCTTCCATCCAAGACGACCAAGACTTCTCATCCGGAAACGCACCGATGCCTATCCTCGTCGCAGATGAGCGTTCGCCCGGAGACTTGATCATCTCTTTGAACGCCACCAACTTCGAGTTCAACCCGTTCGAAATGGGCTCATTCGACCCTACAACCTACGGTTTTGCTCCTCTGAAGTACATCGGCTCCAACTTCAGCGAGGGTGAACTTGCCCAAGATCAGGGCTGTGTTGAGGGATTCGACAACCTGGGCTTCGTCATGGGAACCAGCAGCTCCTTGTTCAACCAGATCTTCCTCACATTGAACACCATCCAGGACGTACCTCAGATCCTGGTAAACTTTGTGTCAAACATCTTGAAGGGTATCGGTGAAGACGGTGACGATATCGCCGACTACTCGCCCAACCCTTTCTTCCGTTACCACAACGAGACGAACCCCAGTGCTGACAGGGAGCGTCTTACTCTCGTTGACGGTGGTGAGGATGGCCAGAACATTCCCTTCAACCCGGTCATTCAGCCCGTACGCCAGGTCGATGTCGTCTTTGCTATCGACTCCTCTGGCGACACCGTCGAGGAGGACGACCCATCGCAGAACTGGCCTAACGGTACCTCTCTGGTTGCAACCTACGAGCGTGCAAGCGGCACTCTCATGAACAGAACTTCATTCCCTTACATCCCCGGACAGGACACCTTTGTTGCTCTAGGATTCAACAGCCGCCCCGCTTTCTTTGGTTGCAACAGCAGCAACGTCACCGAAGGCGACAACATCCCTCCTCTCGTCGTCTACCTCCCCAACGCCCCCTACGTCTTCTGGTCCAACACCTCCACTTTCAACAAGCTCGACTACAGCATCAGCGAGCGCAACGGCATGATCGAGAACGGCTACGACGTCGTCACCCAAGCAAACTCCACACGTGAGGGTGCTTCGAACTGGCCTACTTGCGTCGGATGCGCTATCCTCTCTCGGAGTCTGGAGCGTAACGGCGAAGCTATCCCACAAGTGTGCCAGCAGTGCTTCACTGACTACTGCTGGAACGGCACCACAGTCGAGACATCGCAACCATACACTCCCGAGCTGATCGTTGGTCAGCTCGCCACTACAAACAACGGCGACGACGACAGCGGTGTAGGAAAGTTCGTACCCAACGTCCTTGGTCTTGCTCTGGCAGCGGCCGTGTCTGGATACCTGATGATGTGAGATATTTTCTAGTTTGCTTTTGGCGACATAGGGATTGGATTCAGCGCTGGTTGAAATATGATACCACCTCTCTTTTGTAGATAGTAATTGAGTCAATACACGTATATCGAACGTTCTATTGCCATTCACCTATCACACGTGCGACATTACCATGCCATGCATTGCGGCTCTTCGGCGCCGCCCGTCCCTGCATCACCGAGGCGTGCCCCGCCAGTTGCGCGCCCATAAAAAAAGTTACAACCCCGCCACGCTCGCACTCAACGCCACTCTTCCGCAATCACCACACACAATGGCCGCCGTTCCGTCGCTTGCAGGCGCGCCCGTACTCTCTACGCCCGACACGCACATCTTCGAAGACCCCACTCCCACCGTAGACACGTCCAGTCTCACCAGGCTTTCCGATGAGCAGATCACGCTGACATACGAGATTGAGCGGACGGTCAGGGAAATTCGCGAAGGGAGATGGAAGAGGATTGCGTTGCAGTTCCCGGATCATATGCTTACTGATGCACCGAGAGTGTATGAGCAGCTGAGTCGGGGGCTGGGCAAGGCGAGGAAGGCGCGGGATGGGGTGCAAGAGGAGAATGGACATACAAATTGGACAACAGGCGTGGAAGAAATCAGCGCGGGCTTAGAAAAGGCGGCGATAAGTAACCAGGGAAGCAAAGACGAGAGTCTGTTTATACTGGGTGACACATCATACGGCGCGTGCTGTGTAGACGAGGTTGCAGCAGAGCACGTCGATGCGGACGTTGTCGTACATTATGGCCGCTCATGTCTCTCGCCTCCTTCAAGACTACCAGTCGTATATGTCTTTACCGAACGACCGCTAGACCTCGACCCCGTAATCGCAACATTCCAAGAAACGTATCCGGAGAAAGACGCAAAGATCGTCCTCATGGCCGACATACCATACTCGCACCACATCCCCACGCTCCACGCACGCCTCCAAGACGCCGGCTACACATACATCCACGCTACAGAGATCGTACATAACCCGTCGTCGCCACTCCCAAACCGAACGATACCACCGAACACATCGGAAACAGACGAAGCCCTCCACGACCACGCCCTCTTCCACATCTCCGACCCCCCAACATCCCTCCTCCTCACCCTCTCCTCGCGCGTCGCCTCAATACACATCTACCCCACAGACACGCCCTCCACCACCCCGCCCACCGCCTCCCTCGCCCGCACCCACCAAACCCT